AGTGTTTATCTATAAAGAATTCTTTTTGAGTGGGAGCTCTAAAATGGGAGACCACCTAGTGCTATTCAAGGATCTCTGTTTGACAGCAATCAAGGAATAATAGGCGGAATTTAGTTGTCGCAATGAAGATAGTAGTCTATGTGATATTTTCCGAAGTTGCAGAAGACTGAGATCAGCATGAGTGGCGCTCTTAATCGTTTGTGATGAAGTTAGAAGGCAGTGCTTCCACGGTGTGATTTATTAATGCTTTACAGTGGTATGTGGGATTACAATATTTTGGGTTTGCGATTTCTCTTTATCTGGCGTGCATGGAGAGATGAAGAGCTTACTGAAAAATAAATAAATAAATATTCAACATAATTGTTATGGTCTTCTCAGTAATGATATTCTTTGTTTTCTCAATTGCTTGTTTTGTTTCTGATACAATGAGAAGTAATGAACCTTCAATAGTATAAACTAAATTGCATGTAGAACAGTGCTTTATAGTAGTTTATTCTCAAAAAAATTCCACAAGAAGTGTTACAAAATAAAAAATGAATATTACAAATAAGTGAAATTGAAATAGGCTCCTGTTTCGGAAAATTTTGATATTAACAGATCCATTCGCGCTCATCTGACTTTTGACCTAAACAATGTAGAATATCCAATACTGAAAAGCCTTGGGTTAGCTACCATTCCAGAATGTTAAAGACTTGCAGATACGTCATTATATCTCCTTATCAAATGTTAGTGTTTAGGTCTGTATGCAGATAAAAAAGACCAAAACTGAGCTTATCGTTTTATATATTTGTACTTTCTTATTGTTGAAAAAACTTCACGCATTTAATATATTGCTCATTTAAACTTGGGGTATGTGAGATTTATGCGAATGTCACTGTATTTTATCGTAAGTCGAGTAATTAGTGGAAGCATCAAATGATGCTATTTTGCTGATTAACAATGAATGTTTCTTACGGGAAACTGATATACGTCTAGAACTACTAAGGGAAAGTGAGGAGAAAAAAAGGGAGAGAATTCACTGCACTAAATCTGAATTGGTCCGAGGTGTCTATATTTGGTGACATAATTGGTGAAAAGTACAAAGTAGCAGGCTTTTTGCCTCTTTTTATGGGAATATTTTAAGGAAAACAAAATAATTTACGAAATCATACATTTTTTTATACAGATTTGATTTTTATTGGATCTGTGGGGTTTCGAGCAGTCTCATTGGAGTGCCCAACATGTCACTACCATGCGTATCATCCGGTTCATTTGGGAATGCAGACTTGAACGATTCTGAATGAGCCTCTTCTGAGGTGCCAATACTTACTGGTGCTTCTGTCGTAGCAGATTCTGAATTAAAACATTTAGTGTAAATAATTACGTCTGACATCGAGTTTTCAGTTTGGAAGGTTCTAAAGGAATTTGAATTTTGAAGGGGACATCTCATTAAGTGAGTGGTATGTCATTTTACATTTTCCATGACCTTTTCCTTTAGCTCTCATGATGAGTTACATTTATCCCACTTACAAGTCAGTTCGAAAAAAAAAAAAGACACCTTGAACGAAATTGACTTGTGGTGCGGTTTCATCTGGCTTCACGACCAATCCAACTCTGTCATTTTCAGCTATTGACATTTCACCAAAAGTGTCTTCTTCGGTTGAATGCTAAAAAAAGGATTGGTAATGAATCTTTGTATATACTACTTTCATCTATTGCTGCTCTGCTGCATCAATTAACTTACCTCCGGTCCAGCCTTAGCTACGTCGTTCTTTACACTTATTTCTTGCTCTTTATCGGAAGAACTGGTAATCTCGGTTTCTTGAATTCCTTTGTTAAAAATACTGCAATTTTAAATCTATATTAAATGTTTAATATGAATCAAATTCAGAGTAGATTTCGGTATATCGGAAATAATTAAAAGTTTTCGATGGGCAAGAACTCAATTTTATTACAGAAATGAAAGATTTGTCAAGGATTAGAGAAAAAGAAATATACTTGAAGAAGGCTGGGACAGATTCCGATGAGATGGCGGAATTTCTGCCCTTTGTTGTTGCCTCGATGTTGATAGCAGTAGTCATAGTAGTAGTATCCTCCGATATTTGTTCTACCACCGTTTCGACTGTTCGTCTCGGAAATGTATCAGCGATCATTAGTACTGGTATTTCAGCATCAATACTTTTCTCTTTCTGTGTAAGAACAAAATGTAATTTTCCACTTTTCTCAGAGTCGTTGATAAACTGAATTAGCCTACACCTATTTGCATTAAAATACTACACCATCAGATGATCAGACAGATGTCACCATTAATCTTTAACAATTTGTATGAAAATAACAGATTTACAACTGTATGCTTACTTCTGCTCGTTGTTCGGCTTCCAATCGATCTTGCTCTATTTGCATTCGAAGAGCTCGATGTTGCAACTCTCGAAAGATCTCGTCTGAATTAATCTGAGCTGGTGGAACAACGTTTTGAATTAAAGGTGGTGTCATTGCTGCTGGTAGGATAGTTTGCGATATTTGTTGTTGCATCTAAAATACAAATCAAATAGCAAAGTTCTCTCAGGACTGCGAAAAGTATGGCAATAATTAATTTCTCTGTTCATCTTCCAATATTTTTTCATCTTTCTTTCGCTAAAATTGGGAGTACTCAAAATTTACATTATTTTAGCAAATTAAACTATTTGTTTAGAGAGATTGCTAATGGAATGAGTAAAAGTTTGTTTATTCAAATGAACATTTAAAAAAAAATGTATAAAATCAAATGTACTTGTGCTCGTGATCGTAACTCTTTAAAGATAGTATCACGATCTGGAATTCCATCAAATGTCATTGGTATTGGCTGAAAAGTTTAACAGAATTGTGAGAATGAACATAAGATTTTAGAAGCATCCTTGAAGTAGAATTTTATCTTTCAGAAGCAGTATAAGAGATATACAAATTTTACTTGATCAACTACAGGTACAGGTATCTTCTTCTGTTCCAAATCAAGCCTGCAATTATTGTACTTCTTTATTGGTTTGACAATGACAGAAGAGCAGAAAAAGGTCTGTTTAATCAAATGGTTATAATGAAAGAAATAAAATTCAGTCCTTTTTCCATTCTCATTTTCCCTTTCTCCTTCCCTCAATCAAATTTTTCTTTTTTCTTTTGAAGAAAAGATATACAAATTAAGTTGGAAATATCAGATAATTTGCTCTGAATGCATATTTTTCTTACATTTCATGAAAAATCAACAGTGTCAACAGAAACTTCGTAAACTAAATAATCAAATGGGAGGGAATAAAGTTCATTCAATTTGTTACCTATTCATAGAATCATCACGAATTTGCAACGGTGTGGTACTTGGCTTTCCTGAATCCGATCCAATAGGTTGAATTATTGATTCTTCTCTGCTCAATATCTGTTAAATTAAAAAAAAAAATACATTTTAGTACTATTAAACATCAATATCCGTCTAGTTATCATTCATTCCAATAATTTATATCTAAATAGAATTTGAGTCACCTGTGGTGGCATCAATTTAATTGGCACTATTGGTGGTTGTTGTTGTTGTTGCTGTTGCTGCTGCTGCTGCTGTTCCTGTTGTAATTGTTTAGGAATCAAGAAAGGAAGCATGGGGGGAATTCTGGGTGCTACTATAGGCGCTGGTAACATCGGTATTATTGGTATGTTACGTTGATTTCCTTCCAATGGTTGTTGATTCACCCACATCGCTGGCGCTGGTAGCAAGTTCATCCCATTAAATGAAAGCATGGGTAACATTGGTTGCAGTTGTTCAAGCTGTGGTGGTTCTTGTTGCTCTTGAAGTCCCATGATGAACTGAGACACTTTACGTTCTGCTGCTTCTTGACGTTCTGAAATAGACTTCCACTATTAACCAAACTTTGGATCATCCTTTTGCGCTTAAACAAAAGAACTTATAACTATCGAATGCACTGTTCCGTGTAATCCGACCAGACCATGTTGATCATTTGATTTCAAATTCGAATGTTAACCTCTTTCCAGCTCAGCCAACATCCGCCTTCTGAACATCTCACGGCGTAACAGCCACTCCCTTATTGCTCGGCGATAGCTTGAACATTAATTTTCAAAAGAGAAGATAAAAACATAAAGCACTCTTAACAACTCTTACATCAATTTCTATTTTCCATGTCTTATTTAATATGTCGCATGTTAATGTATGTCGTAGTATGAAGTGAGAATAGTGAATTAATTAAAATTAAAAGTAGAACTAAACCAGGATTCAATTAGTAAATTTTTGAAACCATCTTACTTCATCAACTCCCATCCTTTCATTTCCATTGGTGGTACAAATGGAGCTGAAAACAGAAGTATTTAAGTAATTATTTCAGTAAAATTTATATGATTCAAGTCCAGGAGTGAACTGAGGCTACTAACTACCCTAAACTTGCTTAATTGACCTCAAAATGCAAAAAAAGTTTCGTCTCTTTTCATAATAAAAGTTTGATTTGGCTTGATATATGACATTCCTCATTTGTATATATGACAATAAACAAGAAAATATACCTTGTGGTTGAATCAAACTTTTCGCAATTGATGGCTGTATTTCATCTACATTATTTCTTTTTTCTAAAGTTCTTATACGATGAAATACTGTATGTTTAATTAGTCTGAACAATTTATTTAATGAACTAAATCATTGTTAGCTCAGGTTAGATGTTAGTTCAACTTTAACTTTTTTCTTTAAAGAATAAAAAAATTTAGAACCAACCATTAGGTACAATTTCAGGTTTCATGATTACATCAGCAGGTATTTTACCGTTATTCTGAACAACAGCTACCTGTTGAACACCAGGAATTTTGAGTAGAGTTGCAATCTGAAACTATTTGCGCCAAATTCTCTAAAAAAAAAATAAAGCAAATGAAAAATGTTTATGGTTGATTAATATGAAGTGATACTATTTCCATCATCATAAGATGATCTGAAAAAGAATTTCCTACCGCTTTCATTGCTTCAAAACGATTAGGTGTAGCAGCATCATCTGGTTGTTTCACTTCTCCATCATCATTTCCTGCAGTTTCTATATCTTGATTTCCTGTAATAAGACTGTCACGATTATCCTGTATCATGTCCCCATTCTGATCCACTTTATTCATTTTCCCTGCTATATCCATTGAATCAAGTTTAGGCAACAAAAGTGTATTCTCTTCCGCCACATCAAATCTACCAGATCGTCGTACCCATGGTGATGTTGATCCACTTACGGTAACTTCATTTGACTGAAAAGAATATTGGTATGTACTATTTCACTCTATAAATCAGAGAAATATACCAATTAAAATACACTTATTTTTAGAATCTATTGTCAGGAACTACATTGAATATGTTTTGACGAAAAGAAACAGTATATCAAATAACAAATACACTCTGACCTTTTTGATTTCATTAAGACCCTTGACCCTTTTTAGTTTCACTAAGGTTTCTGACTTAGTTTAGTTTCACTAAGAGCCCTGATCATTTTTGGCTTCACCGGAAAGATGGAAATATCCTGATCTTTGGTACCATACAAATGAAGTCAGATAGTAACAGTGATATCTCTATGCATGCCCAAATTGTCGTCAAAAAATAGTATGAATAAAATGAATTTGAAAAAAGGACAATCTCTATGACCCGGAAAGATACTCTACGGTAGATGATATCAATGGAAAACATTTGCAATTATTAGTTGTATGTATTTCCATTTCTTAAAAAGCATTTGCCAAATTATGAAATGGAGAAGATTAAATGTACGGTAATTAGTACGGTGATTATATAATAATTTCATATGTAAAGTTTATAAAATTAAGATTAATTTCAGGGATTGCAAAAGTAAGAAATGGAGAAGATAAAATGTACGGTAGCTAGTACGGTAATTCTATAATAATTTCATATATAAAGTGTATAAAATTAAGATTAACTTCGAACATTTCCTTTTTGTTTGTTTTTTTTTTTTGCAGGAAAAAGAAAATAAAAATTAGAATAAAAAGAAGAACTTACAACAAGATGATGGACTCTTTTATAGAAGAAATCAGGAATCATGTAGAATAGCATAGATAGAGTCATAAGGGATAGCAAAATAATGAATATATGAGATGTACCACATCGCTTTTTGGCAACTAAAATAAGATGATATTTATTTGAACTAAATGGATCAAGTACTGTAGTTAGGCCTAGAAAGGTAATAAGTAAGTTAAGTTAACTTGGCTCATTTCACCTTATGAAAATAACTTCAGTAATAATCTTTTGCTGTTATTTCAAAAATTCCTTTTGTTCTTTTTTTTTTTCTTGAGAAACAAATGTAATTTTAGTATTCTTCATCATAAATATATCATCCTGAAAAGATATTTTGAAAATTGAGTGATCTCACTTAACTTACGAGCCTGAAAATTATTGAGATGAATGTTTATAAAGAAAAAAAAAAAACAACAAACAAACAAAACAAAGCAGCAGAATGTTTTATTGTTAAAAAAAAAAAAAAAGAAAAAAAGTGGACATGAAATAGAGAATTACCAATAGATGAGATGGGTAAAGTGACCGGATAGAAGGTAGCCTGTGGTGTAGTGGACGATATTGTAATTCCTTCTACTTCTTTCGACTTCTCATCACCTTCTTTTCCATTCGAAGTTAGGGCAAAAATTTTTGTCATCTATAAAAATAGAAATTTTAATTATAAAATATTAATTCACATTAATCACTAACTACAACTATTAACGAATCGAAGAAAATTTAAAAAGCTGGAAAAAAAAATTGTTAGAAAATGAACACATCGAAATGAGGAAATGAAATGTGAACTTTCAACTTTATCTAAATGTGTATCATTT